CAGGTAGGGACTGAATAATCCAGGTACAGATTGAGATAACTTGTGGAATCAGAATTGGATCCAGGGCAGAAGTATAGTTGGAGGGCAGATATTCATGGGACAGCAGAGATCAGACCTTTGTGTGGTGCCAAGACCTCATACCCCCACTGACATTCAGATCTGATGCACAAAGGCTTCTTATTATTCATGTGACACTGGACATCCTCATCCTGTCATCTGACCCCTCAGACCTGAGTGGGCAAAAGAACTTCTGCCTGGAGTACCTGAAGCTCACAGACATGTGGTGGGCATTGGACAAGGAGGGCCCAACCCTTGACTGAGTGTCAGATACAAGGCCTGCAGTGGAAGTGGGATTCATCTAGGATGGGAGATATGTGGATGTTAGGGGCAGGCTGAAAGGATGAAAGAATTGACACCAAATTCTAGTTCTGAGATCCAGGAAAGGCCACTAGCTGGTATATGTGGGCTTTTCTGCACCATGTATTTCCAGGGGTTTCTAGGAATTTGTACTGAGCAAAAGGAACAGAGCCTGGAGGGCATTGTCTTCACACGTGTTCTATTCAGACAATAACAGTCCCTGGACAATAACAGTCCCACGGCTTTCTCTTTCCCATTCTGCATTCTCTGTTTTTCCACTTGACTAGTTGGGAGCTCTGGTAGCATAGTGCCTAAGGCACTTGACTGCTAACCAGAAGGCTGGTGGTTCAAACCCACCCGCCACTCCTCAGAAGCAAGGTTGGGGAATCTACTTCTGTAGTGATACTGTCTCGACAGCCCAAAGAGGGGTCGCTATGAGTTGGGTCCAACTCGATGGCACATAACAACAGCAACAATGACAGTTGCAAAAGGACCTAGGAGTCCATTCTCAGCTTTTGGGGATCATCCAAATGCATGACCTTCTATTCTCTGACCATGGGCAACCATGAGAACTACAAAATTTTCCCTATCTAGCACTAGGCTCAGTGGAACAGGTGTAAACCTCTGGGACTTCAAGTAATGGAGGCTTTCCTGGGTGCATGACCCAGCATATGGCTAACTGGGCCTCCAGACTCTGAGACCTGGGGCTGTGCTTTAAGGATCTATAGTTTAGGACCAGACAGAGATAAGTGGTAGCAGCTGATGTGGAGCCAGGGCAGAAGTGTAGCTGGATGGTAGACATTCATGGAAACGTGATTTGCAAATATTTTGTCCCTGCCTATTATGCTTTGTCTTTTTGTTGTCTTAAGTG